CGTTGGTTCAGGAGAAGCGCTCAGAGAGTCATAAACCGAGGAGGTGGTTGTCCACCCCTGTTATACGCTGCCCCAGACACCCTTGGCTGCTACTCTCTGACAGCCTCTCACTTTCCCAAATCCCTCTTATAACTTTACACCTTAGATTACGGCCTTATCAGGGAGGCATCCAGCCGACACCTCGTTCCGAGGAGCAGGCATAAGCCCCTAAAAACCAGCATAAAAACTTGCCGCCACCGCACTGTGGGGTAATTTTTAGCGTTCCCAGAAGGGGGATTACAGTGAGTGTGCAGGGAAATAAAGGGAGAGTTTGATGGAGGAAGGATAAAGGCAATGACGACCATCATTTTCATGTCCTGAGGGAGTTGGTGCCACTTTTATTGGTCTTGATTGAGGCTTTTATAATTAAAAATTACTAGAACTAGAAATGATGGATGTACTGAACACTGAATCTGGATTCTGTCTGCATTCTTTTTTTTTACTGTCAACAAACTAAGTCTGCGTTGTTCATTAAAATTAATTGATTGGATCAGTTCTGCTGATCTATAAACTTAAATACTGTGTATTAGTGAAAGAATCATATGGCTCTATCCCAGTGATTCCTGTTTTTTTTGTGTGACATACCCCGACTGCCTTCTTATAAATGGATTATAAAGTGGATGTTATTTAAAACTATTAATTGTATTTAAATGGTTATTGCTAAATTTTTTTAAATACAATTTAATTGACAATGTTTAGGTTACTTTGGTCAAGTTTGCTAGCTAAGAATGACTTTAAGCTAAGTATTTCAACTGTTCTTCCTTGACTTTTAACTAACTGTTTATTCATTATTTTTATATATCCATTTTAACTGTATATCCATTATTTTTAACTATTTCAGCTGTTTGATACTTTTAGCAAACTATTTAAACTGTACTCATTCTTGAGCTTGCTATTTCCACCGCTTTATATTTACTTTTAGCTAGCTAGTTCAACTTCTCTTCTTGCTTGCCAACTATTTTCACACACTCAGTCACAAAACTGATCTTCATGGGCAGTTCTCTGCATGTTGTGAATATATTACAGCTCTTTATCACACCTATTTATATTCCTGTCTTCTTCTATTTTTCTTTACTATTCTTTACTATTTTATTTTACTTCTTAACTCAAATATGTGGATATATATTTTATATCACAAGTAGTTGAGTTTAGTTGATTTAGTTAAGAGTCTTCCTTGGACCCCCTGCCAACTGAAGAAGTACCCCTGGGTTACAAGAACCACTGTTTGGGAATACACCAGATCATATGTGATGCTAATTGTGTTCATTGAATGCCACGACACAACTTCCCAAGCCACAACTTAAATTTTTTATGTAAACGCAATGCTGTCACTTTTTACATCAAACAAACACAAGACAATGTCATGACAAAGCTCAGAGATATATGGACGTAGACAGACAGACATGAAAGCGCTTACACATATTCAAAAAAGTACACAGCACAGATGTTCATGCAAAACTGGCTCGCTGAAAGGCATACTTGTGTAGTGAACTAATTCTATACACCCTGCATGTAGCTCATGCACAAACACACGCTGTCTTTCTCAGACATGAAAACTTGCTTGAGGTCAATGCTTGAGGACGACTAGCTAACTGTATATAGTACAGGAGGCTTTGATCTTTGGACTTGGCTGTGGCAAAGACAGCCAGCCAGCGCTGAGGCCCTGCGCTACCGGAAGCTTGTGGTCTGGGACGGCTCCATTTACTACTCTGTTCTGGTGCTAAATATACAATAATAAAAAGGCTGGCAGATTTATTTCAGACTGTGATACATTTCCTCTCCAGCGAGGGAAGAAAGGACAGCAAAAGACAGACGTCTCCAGATCACCGAAGAACATTAAGTGATAATTACAGAGAGAGATAGACAAAAAGAGAGGGACGAGGTTTCCCCCTCTCGCTTTTCTCTTCCTCTTCCTCTGCCACCACAGAGGAGAGTGGCGTCTCCAAACTAAGAGGGGCGCCCGCTGTATTAGACTCCCAATGATTGGCCATGATTGCATTATCTGATCCCATGAGGGATAAAAGGACAGCAACACACACACACACACACACACACAAACACACACACACACCACATGCCTGTATTTCATTGCTCAATGTTGACTGCCTCCTCAGAAGTCAAACATGGCTTTTTTTAAAAAAAAACATCTTTAGACATGTAGCCATAAAAGAAAATATGATTCAAATTCAAACATTGTCTTTATCTGTTTCAAGTCAGTTTTCTGAAACACACAAGCATGCGCACACACATACACACACTCACACTCCTCTATGTACTCGACTTCACCACCAGTCCACCGCACTCCTCTCAAAGCTCTTTGATCCCCGGTCGAGGGTCCTCTCCGCGGTGCCTCTGTCTGAATTCCAGAGATTCTGGGATAATTCAAACGTTTCACGGCACATACTTGGTCCCCCCAGGAGACAGCGGCGGAGATGGAAAATGCCACCACGGTCTCTCTCCCTCCATTGTCCCTACTCTTTAATCAGGCCCTCTCTGTGGCTCGCGCTGCCACCGTGGTGTGTTGTCTCAGCCTGGGAAAATGCCGGCCTAAGTGGCTGTTATGTGCTGAGGCGCAGACCACAGGGACCCAGAGGGGTGCTGCTGGAGCCCTCTGTGCCAGCCATGGGTCTCACAGTGGCTAACACACACAATGAGTGAGGTCCCAAATCTGGATGCAGCCTTACATAACAGCCATCGCTAAGTCTATTCGCTTTTTAGACTGGGCTTCAATCAGTAAATCATACACCATTATAATCATAGGCGTAAGCCAAAACCCAATCATAAATCATGAATATTATTTGTTCCTAAGGGGTTGCTGGGTGTAAACTAGCATTAAACTGCCACACAGATAGGGCAGTATTGTACAAACTCCAGTATGATTGCTTGGCTGTGAAACGTCTGTGGAGAGGGAGTTTCCTGCCCTTATGTCAACAAAGGACCAAAACAAAGGCCCTGTGTTTCCCTGAGTCAGAGCAAGAAGAAGGTCAGCAACCAGAAGCTACGTCAGAGTTCAACCCGTTTCGGCGTTTGCGTTGGGATAGCCTTGTGTCAGGGCTGGGCAGCTGGGTCAACCGGCGGTTGGCCTGCCTTCAGCCGGACACAATGCTCCATCAGGTCAAGTTTACAAGGACTGACTCAAACCCTGCTGGTTTATACTAGTTTATATTTAGTGCTTATAAGCGTGAATAGAGTTTTTATGAGGTGCCGTAAATTTCATTTTCAAAAGAGGGTGAGTATGGAGGCTCATGTACGCCTACCCTGTGGTTTCCCCAGGCCACCACGAAGCCTTTGTATTCGCCCTGTTTGCCATGGGAAAATATCTGAAACAAATAAGTCGCTTGGTCGGCACCCATCAGTGTAAAAACACTTCTAAGAGCTGTGGATTGTGCTGAGAGGGTGTGGCGCAGCGCTGAAGGAACTACTTGTTTACTCTTGCTATGTCCGAAAATAAAAAAAGGAATTATTTTCTCTCCGAACTGGAAGGCAAATAAACAAGTATTCTTGAGCAGACAACGTGGGCAGGCGTGAGCCGCCTGCTGTTGTGCAGCGACATGATGGACTTGGTATGAGAAGGAGGGTGACACTTTGAGGTTCTTCCCCACAACATCATCACCATCATCATCATTGTCATCGTCACTATCAGTGAGTTTCTGTAATGGAAAGAGGCAGACACAACTCAAACTTCATATAAGTTAAGAGTAAAGACAACATTTTACTTTTAAAAACACATAATTACCATCATGTATCCAACAGGGATTAAGAAACTTGTATATTTTTTACTAATTAATGATAAAAAAAAACATTTTGATCTGAAATGAAAAAAGGCAGGCAAGAAGTAATATAATCTGAGCAAGTCTCATTAATATTCTTTTTTATCACATCATGAATTAAAGCGGTATTTTATATTTCTCTACTCTAAATGTCAGTATGATCAATTGAAGGTTTTTTGGAGGATAACTGGTGTCCTGTTGGACTTATTTTAGAGATCTACACTGGTACCACTATAGGTTGGTTTTTTGATCACAGCTGATCACATCAGGTACTAATGCATATTGTTTAAACTCTCTTTTAATCAAATAATTTGTTTCTGTGTCTCGCAAATACCAGCTGAGCAACAGCCACCCCAGGGGACAATATCCACATAGTATGAGGCCTAACCACACCATCCTGTAGTAAATGAATGCTGGCACCATGATGTTTTTTTGACACTGAACACTTGCTGAGCTAAAGGCCTATGCTAACATTTATTTCAAACTAAATGTCATTAACTTGGTGGGGTAAGATGGGGTAGGCGATTCTGGAGGAATCCAACACTATCACAAATACCATGATATAGTGTGAGCAGCGACACAGCGAGTAATGTAACTAGCATTACAAGGGTAGCTTGTGGGTGCAAACCTTGCTGAAGCAGCTGCTGTGCATCTAACATGCAGAGAGGATGAGTAAACCTGAAAGTAGGCTGAATGTCTGTGGGCACGTCATTTTACATTACTGGACATAACAAGTTATTGTTGTGTGGCTCGGTCCAATCCACTTTGTTTGTTTCCCATTTTCAGAGCCAGATTTTTTCCTTTCTTTTTTTTTTGAGGAGATATTCACTGAATTTGAAAAAAAGTGTATTGGATTAGAATTGCAATACCTCGAATTGCTTAACCCACGTTTCATGTGAATCTGCAAAGTAACTAGTAGCTGTAGTTATCACATACATGTATTACTATTACCCTCTCATAGAAGAAAAGGGAATACTGAAGTAAATAGTACTTCAGTAATTGTATTTAGTTCATTTCCACCACTGTTCCTTTCTTCCGCCCAGTAATAAGGGATTTTACAAACATGCTGCTCACTAAACCCACATTCAAGTTCACAGCACAGTTTCAGGGGCCCTCCGGGGAACGCCCCCGTCGGCCACTGATTGGACAAATGAAAAACGTCACCGATTGATGAAGGCGGAAGTTGTTGTGGACACGGAAGAATGAGCCTGGCTAGCATCAATGTTTGTGTCATGATAAACGTTTTGTCCCCTTCAGTCGCGGTATCCTACAGGTGAGACCGTGCTGTGTGTGCTCGTACCTCAGTGTGTGTCAGCATGCAGGGCAGGGCCGGTCGCTGTTGTCACTAAGTAAGTTAGCTGTTCGGCGCTAGCAACACAAGTTAGCTTGTAAGCAAAAACATTCCTCTGTAAACACGCGTCAATATTTGCTCTTATCTGTATGTTTGAGCGTTGTTGTCTTTTCCGGGAACAAACTTAACGTGTGTTATATCATCAAGTGAAGTGACGGTGAAGCTGTCTGTCATTCCCCCACAGTACTGTCAATGTTACATTTGTACCACCACTGTTGAAAGTCCAATATCAACACATGCTTCAGTTCTTGTCTCTGCCTTCCCTTTCCCCTGGCAGGGCTCACTGAGGTGTAGACATGGATGTGCCTTGCTACCTGCCCAAACTGCTGTTTGAGCTCAATGAGCAGCGTAAGAGAGACTTCTTCTGTGACTGCAGCATTCTTGTGGAGGGCCGGGTCTTCAAGGCCCACCGGAATGTGTTGTTTGCTGGCAGTGGCTATTTCCGGGCTCTTCTGGTTCACTATCTGCAGGTGAGAACAGCTGATATCTGTGCCTCCTCAAGTGTTTTCTGGGAGAGGGGGGCAAGTGTCGGGCGCTGCTTCTTGGAGACAAATGGGAAGATTTGACCAAGATGATGTATTCATTATTATGTTGTCAGTGGTTACTTTAATGCCTTGATGCGTTAAAAGCGACTAACTTGATCTCTTTTGTGTTGATGTGACAGCTGATTCTGATAGATGATTTCATATTTTTGTGGAAATGTGCGTGTGGATTTCAGGACTATGTTGTTTCTAGTTTTCCATGTTGATGAAATCTTGTTTTTCTATTGTGTTTCCTTTTGTCTTCTAATATCTTTGGACCATGTGTGAAAAGTGTTTTCACTTTAACATGTTATACTTTTGTATATTTTTCTTGTTGTTTCTTTTCCTGTGCCTTTATTTTGTTGACCTAAATAAAAATCAATCAATCCGATTTTGTCAAGGTAGGGTATCCCACTAATACGATATGTACATGAGATTATTGATCCCAAAGACCTGTTAGATGAAGCATGCCAAGATCATTGCACTGCTTCTCCTTCTAAATCTTATTATTATTAAAAACTTTTCAAGGTAAGGGCATATTAAAAAAAAAAAAGACAAAGCAACACTAGATTTGATTTATTTTTATTTTTACGAACATTTGTCATTTCAAGTAAATGAAGTCCTTAATTGTGTTGAATTTCTCTAAATATCCGTATCTATATATCTTTCCAGGATAACGGACAGCGCTACAGCACAGCATCGTTGGACATCGTGACAGCCGATGCCTTCTCTATTATCCTGGACTTCCTTTACTCCGGCCGCTTGGCGCTGAACAGAAGCAATGTCATTGAGGTGATGTCAGCAGCCAGCTACCTGCAGATGACCGATCTGGTCAACTTTTGTAAGGGATACATCCGCTCATCTTTGGAAATATGCAACAAGGAGAAGGAGAGGAGCACGGAGAAGGAGAGCCAGGCACAGGATGGAGGGATTGGTCCTGCAGACAGCGGCACTCCTGCTGCGACAATCCCCAGTGGCGCCGAGGCTGCGGAGCCTCCATCGCAGGTTGCAGAGGCAGATAGAGGGTCGGGTTTAGGTCCGGAGTCTGTGAGCTCGGCCAGAACCCCCTTATCTATCCCTGTCACCACAGCTCCAGGCAGCAGCAGGGACATGGACAGTGACTACCATTCCAGGGAGGAATTTGGACCTGTGAGCGAAGGACAGAAGGGACACATGGATCAGACCAACCTCTCATCCTCCTCATCGTCTGCTTTGACCCCCGAGTTAGTGAACCCTAAGATAGAGTACGACCCAGATGAGGAGCTTATGGAGTCCCCTGACACCAAAGACCTGGCCTCATATCCTGGGCCCTCTCTCCATAACCCTCATCATAGCAGGCTACTTCCGCCAAGTCCCTCCCCCTCCAATGAGCGCTCTCCCTTAGGATACAGCCCTTCCTTCAATGCCAGGCAGCTGATTGAGATTCTGGCCAGAGGTGAAGGCCCCAGTCCTCTTGGGGACAGAGTGGGGCAGCGCTTTACTCAAGGACTAGGTAGCAGCACAGGAGGAGGCAGAATGGATGAAGGTTTAGGGTTTGTGGGATCTTCTATAATGGAGATCCAGTCTGATTGGCTTGGAGAGGACACAGGTAATTGGCGAGATCAATCTAAGCTAATGGAAATGGCCTAGGGTGACATATGTTTCTCTGTAGGCTTGCACACGCTCAATCAGAAAAGTAAGGCAGCATACTTTTTTTTTTTTGCAGTGTTGTCCTGGTGAGGTAAATCTGAAGTGTTGGCCTCTCTCTCCCCCTGCAGGCGACGGTTTGGTAGTGCCGGTGAAACTTCACAAGTGTCCATTCTGCCCGTACACTGCCAAGCAGAAGGGAATCATGAAGAGACACATCCGTTGCCACACGGGAGAGAGGCCCTTCCCCTGCCCAATGTGTGGCAAGAGGTTCACAAGACAGGAGCACCTTCGCAGCCACGCCCTCAGTGTAAGAACTCAGTGTAACTGTGAGATAGTCGGCCTAGATATATATTATGTTGTGCCGTCTGGATTTGATATGTAGGCCTCTCAGTCTAAGACTCTGATACAAAATTAGTTGAATAAGTTGTTATACAACTACTATTTGCCTTGTTTTCCAGCTACCTACAGTCTCTTCAGTGGTGAGCTGTTTTCATTGCATGGCCTGTTCAACTAAAACCCATAGTTCAGTCTCTTTTCTGTGTTTTTGAACTTATTAATGACCTTTTCCAATTGCTATCCAAAATTTGTCCACTTTGTCAGACAACCCACTTGGCGAATTACAAGTGTGTTTGAAATGTGAGTTTATCATTTTTAAATAATAAAGCAATCTAAGAATGCCATGGCCAGCCATATGTTGTCAACTGCCGTACAGAAAGTGACATCACTTGTTGAAAACAATTTAAAATTAAAAATTCCTTTTTTATTAGCAAAATCACTTTTAAACCCATTTTTGAATTTAAATTGTAGTAGGGAGTTGCACAAGGGCAATTATCTGTCCTGTTGTTGTACTTTACAGATTAACTACTTACAGTTACTTACAGTTGTATTTTGTCCTAGTTGTAGTAGAATTGTATAGTCAATAATAGATTACAAACATGGTTGTACAAAATGAGTTATAGCCAGCAAGTAATTGCTAGCAGTTAGTTGTAAACAGTAATTAGCTGCCTCACTCTTTAATTGAGAGCTGTAGTGTTGTTAAATTCGGTTCTTTGTTCCCTGTCGTTTGTGTTTTGTGTGCAGTGAAGGAAGTATAATGAGAGCAGTAAATCTTTTGGCTCCTATATTGTTATTCGTCTCCTCTAGTAATCTAAATGTTGGTGTTGCCTGTGCAGAATGACTCACATTGTGCTGTCTGTGTCACTGCTGACCATTGACAGGTCCACAGACACTACTGGCCAGTTTCATGTAAGAGCTGCAGGCGAACCTTCACTGGATCGGGCGTTTCACCAGGACTCAGGCGCTTTGGCATCTGCGACAGCTGCAACTGCGTGACCACCACTCATGACGATTCCGCCCCTGTCCACCCCGCCAACCAACCAGAGTCCATGGAACGTGCGGACGGGGGTACGGATTGGTCCAATTTTATGGACGACGTGGATGAAGTGGAGGTTGGCAGAGTGGAGGACTTGGTAGAGAAACAGATGCTTGAGAGGCAGCTGGTCTGTACTGATGTAGGTCACACACTGTGAATCCCACTGTGCTTGGAGAAGAACTGTTTTTACTGTTCGGGTTAACCGTGGCCATACTGTTATTGATGTTACATTATTGCTGTAAGATGACCCTATCTATTGACTCATTTGTAATGAGAAAATTTGTCCTTTTTACTGTTGGAGATATTGTGCTCCAGTGATTTTAGATTCAGTGTTTTGTTTCATGTGGTCTTAAAATTCCCTGCACATGTCATTGCAAAGTTAATCAAATCCCAATTTCGCTGTATGTACGGTACATGAACAGAATGTAGCCGTCAAAGTTGTAGTTTTATGGATTTTTCTTAACTTTACAGACCATAGACAAAGTTACCGGTGTCCAAAAAGATTACAGTTCACAGATACATCGATCTCTGTGGTTATAATGGGGCCATTTTGGGTGTTATTGCAATAAATGTGTTGTGTAATTGTGGACCAATTCCCTTTATCACACCTTGTGAATTTATGTGTGTTTTTTTTACATGTAGATACTTTCTAATCTGCTGATATATTTTCCCTGCTGTTTGTCATGGATTTGCATCAAGAAAAAAAAAAGTGCCCTTTGCCGCCCTCTTGTGGTTGAGCCACTACTACAGACAAATTATCATTCAGTGATAAGAAATCTGTGCCTGCTAGCAGTCAATACAATCACAGGCTTTTGCAACTGACTACCTTACAATGTATAAAGAGATCAAGTAAAATTCATTTTTTTTTGTTTTTTATTGGAATTGCACTAAATCAGTAAATACCCATTAAAATTTAAGTGGGATGGATGATATAGTTTTATTCAAGCCATTTCTCTTGTGCAGGAATTGTACCACCAGAGGGCGATTACACAGTTTGCCCTTCCCACATCAGGTGACTCCTATAGGAGTCTAACTGACAGACACATAGAGGTAGAGTCACCTGCCGTGTCAGACTGTATGCAAGTAGTAAGAGCTTCGCAACTGGCACAGGACTGTAGCCTTACTCAGGAGGAATCATGCCACTTCCAATGCAGCCTTCATGTATTACTCCTTTAATTTGCCTAATTCCCCTTCTTATGTTGGGACCTGGATGTACAGCGCGCTATGCAGCAAACTGGACCAGTCTGGATGCCAGACCCCTGCCCAAGTGGTTTGACGAGGCAAAGATTGGGATTTTCGTCCACTGGGGGGTCTTCTCGGTCCCTGGGTTCGGGCAGTATAGTGAGTGGTTCTGGTACTGGTGGCAGTCCCAAAAGCGCCCAGAAGAAGTTGATTTCATGCAGAAGAACTACCCGCCGGGCTTTAAATACACAGATTTTGCGCCTGACTTTCATGCAGAATTCTTTGACCCGGATAGCTGGGCAGAGGTTTTCAAAGCCTCTGGAGCCAGGTATGATCATCAGCTCTCTTCCAACAGTCAGTTTCAACAGTTGTTCACCTAGGGCTGTAAAAATGTGCACAAACCTGCTGTAAGCTTCTTTGTATTTGAGTTGGGTTTTGACTGCAGCAAGTCTCTTTTGTCATTAGTGTTTGCTCACCACTGTCACACCTTCAGGTGTCATGCATATGCTTCCTTGCAAGCGTTGTCAAGTGCATAATGAGAATATACATCTATATTATTCAGCATATAATAATCAGTGTTTCTCCAACCAACACACAAAGAATACATGATCACTTCCTTGTCACATAAATGTCTATGGGCATTTATGCGTACATGTATTTACAGGTATGTGGTATTCACATCCAAACACCACGAAGGATTCACAAACTGGCCCTCAGCAGGCTCTTGGAACTGGAATTCAGTGGATGTAGGTCCTCATCGGGACCTGGTCGGAGAACTGGCAACAGCTGTCAGGAAGAGGTGAGGAGATTGGGAGAAGGATGCTGCATTGACATTAAATCAGTTATATCTAAATTATATTTTATCCCTAATGACAAGGCTGCAGTACAAATAAAGGAAGGGGTGTTAAGTAGGTAACATAAATAATAACTGATTCATATGGGGGAAATCTTTCATGGTTCAGGGTCACCTGCAGAAATGTATCCTCTAAATCTTAAATAAGTCCGGTTGGAAATAGTTAACAAAAATAGGGCTAAACTGCTTTGTGTATTTAGTAATTTCTCTGCCAACAGGTCACTGCGCTTGGGTCTCTACCACTCTCTATATGAATGGTATCATCCCCTTTTCTTGCTGGACCAAGCCTCTGGATTCAAGACTCAGAATTTTGTTGCCCGTAAGACTCTTCCAGAGCTAGTGAACCTTGTAATGGCATACAAACCAGATCTGATCTGGTCTGATGGGGACTGGGAAGCACCAGACACCTACTGGAACTCCACCCAGTTTCTGGCCTGGCTCTACAATGACAGCCCAGTCAAGGTGAAAGCACATTTACGATATCGGTTTCATCAGAGTGTGTATTTAATCGCATTCTCTTAGTATGAACATGTGGGCCTATTCCTCACATAAAGTTGAATGGTAAGTAGCAGATAATGACTTGTGTGTTTCTTCAGGATGTGGTGGTTACCAATGACAGGTGGGGTAAGGGCTGCTACTGCAAACATGGAGGCTACTACAACTGCGCTGACAGGTACATGCCCGGTGAACTTCCAGACCACAAATGGGAGAAATGCCAGTCCATCGACACCCGTTCCTGGGGCTACCGAAGAGACATGAAGCTGAGCGAACTCATGGACCTGCCGTCCATCATAAAGGTGAAAGGTCACAGTTGGTCATCACCTACAACTGGCCTATGTTCAGTAATTCACTGATTAATTATTTAGTAATATTGCCTCAATCGAACACTCTCTTTTCTCAGGACTTGGTGTATGTGGTAGCAATGGGTGGTAACTACCTACTGAACATTGGGCCAATGGCAGATGGCATGATTGCCCCGGTGTTTGAGGAGAGGTTGAGGGGACTTGGTGCCTGGTTGGGAATTAATGGGGAAGCAGTCTATGCTTCCAAACCCTGGAGGGTCCAGACGGAGAACAGCACTGTTACTGTCTGGTGAGACTGATTTGTTTGTTGCTGCTCCTTAGCCACATCTTGTGATATGTGATTTTGTGATGTAAATAGCCAGTTTGCTCTTATTATAGGTACACTGCCAAAAACAATACAGTTTATGCCATAATGCTTGGCTGGCCAGCCAAACAGCCACTTCAGCTCACAACACCAAGGACGTCTGGGGCTACCAAAGTAAGCCTTCCACCTTTATGCCTATAAAGTTTAGTTCCCCTTACTTTGGTTTGCCAGCATCATAAACTCTACACACTGCTCTTTTACATCTAAGGTTACACTTATGGACTATCCTGATTTACCACTGAAGTGGGCACCAGTGACACAAACCGCTGGACTGATGATTGTTATGCCTACCATGCCAGTATCTCCTGGGAATGCCTGGTCTCTGAAACTGGAAGGAGTAGTCTAACATCAGAGAGATGAAAAAAAAATCAAGATCAAGTCATATTTAGGTCAAGGGGCATGTCTGTTACATTTTAAGGTTCAAGGTTACTTTATTTGCACCCATAGGTAGATTTGGTTTGCAGTAAAAGGCAAGGCATTCCTTTTGACATAAATACAACAAACTCAGGACTTACAAAGAGAGAAAAAAAAAACACTTTAATAACTTGTGCCTTGTTACTACAGTTGTTTGATCTTAATGATTACTGCTGGAAGGAAGCTATTTTTTACACCACTTTGTTCTACATGTTGAGAATATAAACCTCCATCCAGAAAGAAGAAGCTAAAATCCACTGTGCAAAGGGTGGGAGTCGTTACGTTCTGAGTGTGTTTGTAATTGTAAATTAGGTGATCAATGGGGTGTGAAATGTAGGGTAAAATATGATTCACTGTGCACAGGAATATTAAGAGGCTGTCAAAGCTCACAGCAGGACTAGAAAACACTTCACGGTCAATCACTGTGTAATGTGTATTTAATTCCCTCAGGTATTTACTGTAAGCATAAAGCTGTGCTCATTTGTTACCCATGTCATTTTCTCTGGATATCTAGAAAAGCTTTTCTTTACAAAATGTCATCTATATAGAATCTCAATATGTCTTTTGGAATTGGAAAAAAATATATATGTTAAGTGCTGGTGGATGGGTATCTTGCACAGTTGAAAATCCACTGTATACATATACATATCTTTGCATTAAAATGTCCAATTTTTATATGGGGTTTCCTAAACATCATGTGTACTGTATTACTCTTTGTGTGTGTGTGTGTTGTGGATGTTACTGTCCACTTTAACCATATGACAGAGCACATAAAGTCAGAATTGAGACAGGAAAACACATTTTACTTACTACAAAATGTCAAAGCAGCTCATTTAAAAAATTATAAATGACAAAAAAAAAAAATAAACACATCTAAAAACTTACACCATACAAATAGCCTTTTTCTTCAGGTTTCATAGAGAGAAGTTTTATTTTAAGTTACAACCTAGGACAGGAGGGAACCTTAGAGAAAAAAAACTCACAAGTGGGTTATTTGTTATTTACCTGACAGAGGCAGTAGCAGACAAAAACCAAACATTATTTATTGTGCAGCACATCCATGTGTACAACAGCTGGCACTACATCTGTGCCATATCATTTGTGTATTTTGGCATTGCTTAATGCTGAGTCATGTTCCCACAGTTGCTTCTTTATCTCCAGTGTTTCTGTAAGTGTTGCACAGCTCTTTTCTGCGTTTATATAGGCCTGATAGATATTACTGATCAAATGTAAGCAAAAATGACCGGAGAAGAAATCATGAATCCAACTGAGGAGGGCGACAATAAGCCTCCATTGAGTCTAATGTGCTACTAAAAAAACACACACAGAAGAAGGACTCTTTTACGACTTCGTATTGTTTGTGGCGGACGGTGATCGACCGCGGTGCTCCCCTACAGTCCCTGCAGGACGTAGCGGGGACACATGGGGAAGTCGCGGGACTTGAGCGAGTTCGAGCGAGGGATGATAGTGGGAGCCCGGAGCGCCGGCTGCAGCATCTCGGAGACCGTGAACCGGTTGGGCTTTTCGAAGACCGCGGTGTCCCGGGTTTACAGGGAATGGCGAGAGAAGCAGAAAACCTGCAGCCACCGGGGGTCCTGCGGGAGGAAACGCCTGGTCGATGACAGCGGAGAGAGGCGGATGGAGAGCGTGGTGGAGGCGAACAACCACGCTACCAGTGTGCAGATCCAGGCTCTGTACAACAGCAGCGGACAGGAGAGGCCCATCTCACTCACAACCACCCGGCGGACCCTGAAGCGGCTCGGGTACAGCCGCAGGGCGCAGCGGCGGGACTCACTCGTCCTGGCCGGGCTGGACGCTCTGGCTGTGTACGCATCCTGCCCACAACAGCTGGAGACCTCCACGGACTTGGTGTCTGCCAACGAGAGTGACTCGGATCCTAAAGTTAAGACCTCCACGGACCTTGTGTGCAGCAGCGAGAAAGACCCGGACACATAGTGATTGTCCTATTAATGGATCAAAGCGCATTTAACAATATGTACATAGGGAACACATGCAACAGGACGTATGATGCATACAATCAGAGTGTAATTAAAAATGCAAGTTAAACACTAATGAGATGAAACAAATCCATGTGCTTAATGAAATAAAATAAACAGAATAAATCTTCACCTTCTTCTTTCGTCTTAGCATATGCCTTTTTATTTATAGAGACATATTCAAATAGGTCTGGGCAAAACTGAGTTTATGGGTGATTCAATTTCTCTCCTTTATTTTATGTTTTAATTTTATGTTATCAGATGATCCCAAAAAAATCTGCCCATCCTCAGAACAGTGTAATTGTATCCTGGTGTTGGGTGATTTTCTTTCTCCTTATATCAACGTTTATCCAAAATATTGTCGCTAAACTTCTCTAACACATGATTTATTACTGGAAATGTCCTGTTCTTCACGTCCACATTATTATTAACCTCAACACCTAATGAAATGTCTTAGGCAAGTTGATCTCCACCTAGGTGTGTCCAAAAAAAAAAATCTCCCTAGTGAAACACCAGATATGATCTTCAGGCATCATTAGTTCCACCTGTCCAGGTCCAAAACACATCAGAATGCATCCCATTGTGAAATAAATGGCATGGTGAATGCATTTTATACAGATAACACATGTGGACTGAAGCAGTATCTACCACTGAGGACCGTGACACCTCGTCTGCGGCATTTTCTGGGAATTCAGGTGTTAAAGCAACCTAGTGTTTAAAACAGAAATCACATGGTGGGTATTTAAGTGTTTTTTTTCCTGGCAGCGTGGGGAGGGCGCTGAACAGCATGTATACCTTCATGTTATAAATAAGTTACAGGTAACAGAATATGCACCTGAAAGTGAGACCATCCCACATACAGTCAGTGCTCACAAACATATCCCACTGTTATTTCTTGGAATTGGGATTTTGAAAAATCTCATCTACATAATTTAGTCCCATGTAAGTGCCATGTCTGTATCGGCAGGTTAAATAAAGTTATTTAAAGAAAACATAGAGGCGGGATCATCACGTGATAATCCACGGGCTAGTCATATGATTGAACACAGCGCTGTACCTGAAGGGTCTCAGTCTGAACCCCCTACAGCAGCCAGCAGCGGGACTTAACGTTACCGTAGGGTCGTCGGTGTCCGCGCAGCCGCAGAAGGTAGTCATGGTGGCTGTGTTAGTGTTAGTCGTAGCTTTAGTCTCCCAAACGGCGGTGGCTCGGTACACTGCGGACTGGAGCAGTTTGGATGCTAGACCGCTGCCTCCATGGTACGACGAAGCCAAGGTGGGGGTTTTTATCCACTGGGGTGTGTTTTCTGTCCCCGGGTTTCAGAGCGAGTGGTTCTGGTGGCACTGGCAGGGCCAGCAGCCCCCGAACCAGAAGTGTGTGAACTACATGTCTAAGAACTACCCGCCTGGGTTCAGCTACCCGGAGTTTGCCCCCCAGTTTCACGCTCAGTTCTTCAACCCGGGGGAGTGGGCAGACATATTCAAGGCTTCTGGTGCAAAGTGAGTGTGTTTCTCTAGCTTAAAGGGCTCTGCTTACAGACACTTCCGGGTTCTTGCTTGACCTGCATCTGCACTGGTTTACGTCAAACAGTCACACTTACACTTACCGTACATATTATTACTTATCTTCACTGCAGATATGTCGTCCTGACTGCCAAACACCACGAAGGATTTACTAACTGGGGCTCTCCAAACTCCTGGAACTGGAACTCTGTTGATACTGGTCCTCACAGGGACCTGGTGGGAGACCTGGGAGAGGCCGTGCGCAACAGGTGGGCCAGTGTTTATAGCTGACATCAATATGCCAACATTACAGTCAGTTAGAGAGTATATCTGTTAATAGTACAGTGCATATTAAGTCACACACCCTAAGCACTTGTTGGGTCACATGTATTTCCAGATTTAATAGTAATCCCTTTTCTGTAGATTGGGGATGCATCAATCTGATATATCAGCACAAATACGGACCTTATTAAGTGAAATGGGTGTTAAGTTATACTTATAAAAAGTTAGGCCTGTGCATCCCGACACCAAATATCAGCGTAATGTCCAATAATTAGAATAAGCTTAAACAATTTAAATATGGTGGTGTTGAATTTGTGGCTTTGGCATTTCACGTCATTCAAGATATCTGGCTTCACTTAGTTTTAGTGCCTGAATTGTGGTTAGTCTGCTTGTCTGCGGTGACAGATTTGAAAGTTTTTCATTTCCCCGTTTAGGTCATTGCACTATGGACTCTACAACTCCTTGTATGAGTGGTTCCACCCTCTCTACCTGGCAGACAAGAAGAACGGATTCAAAACACAGGAGTTTGTGATGCATAAACTTCTGCCAGAGCTTTATAACATGGTTGTAAGGTCTGTAGCACTTCTATTACTCCGTCAGCTTATTACAACACAAACATGTATTGCACTTGATTGTGAGTCTGCTTTGTTATAGTGACATGTGCCTGTATGAGATAAAAGTACATGTCATTACAACCCTATGACAGTATGTTTACCATTACCTTTCTTTTTTTTTTTTTTTAGG